GGGGGGGGGGGGGGGGGGGTCGTTCGACGCTGCACCATATATCCCAAGACCCTGTCCACATCGCCCTACACTTCGAATAATAGTACATAATACACCCTCAGTCTATTTGCAAAGGCCCCTTTTCATGTACTCAAGCCTGGACCCAGAGACGTCTCCGTGCCCTCAAAGTATCGTTGCCAAAAAGTCCGACGCTGTCGTCTTAAGTGTTGGAGGAGGACAGCGGGCATTCCGAAAGCATTTGCCGAAACTTGTACTGAAGCTGATCGTGCTATTGCTCAATAATTACTTACCACCAAGGGCGATCTTGCTTTTGGAGCTTTCTTCGCTGTCTTATGGTTTTGCATTGTGGTTGCTACCAGTATTTCGTACGGAAATCGGTTGTTCCTGTTGCGACACTATACTGTTCTGCTTACTCTTCTGAGCATGCTTGTGGCATTAGAAGACGTGTCCAGCGGGAAGAGGTTCTCAACAGTCACTCTTGTATTGCTACGCTACCGGGCTTCTTCCCAAGGCACAGGTGTTGATTCAGCTTCGAAGCATGTCTGATCTTGTTGAGTTTGTGTCTTGCGAAAATCCACTCGAAAGCTGCTCGGTCAGTCCTCCGGTGGCTACACGACGCTGCAGTCGCGCCTGGAGGCCGTGGCCGGCATCATGGAGTATCTCGGCTCTGTTTTCTTTGCCTCGCTGTCGTCCCGATACTTGCAATTTGCTGGTTTGCTGGAGCCCTGCGCAAATGGCAACTGCCAAGCTTTGGCCCGTTGTTCTGGTGCTTTCGCAGCGGTCAGGAAGTATCCCTTCGTCAAGGGGGCGATCATCAACGAAGTGGGCATGCTGAACTGTGCACCAGAGAGCAAGGATCCCATATGCGCCGGAGGCTAAGGGAAGAAGCCGTCACGAGCAAGGAGGGCCTTCATGCTTCAAACCTTGCTTCGATCACCTGTTTAGGTCCCCAACTCGGGCAAGTACCCAGCCTCTGCTACGGCCGACCACGCCTGCCCGTCCACTGATGAGCTGCCCAATGGCCTGGCGAGCTTCATCGACAAGATCTTCGACTCTTGGTAAAGCAGTCAGCACATCTGAAAAACTCTTTTCCGGGGCTTGACCTTTCGTTTCAAGCTCGATGTCCGCGTCTTGCTACGAGTTTGCAGCTGCTACGACAGACACAAAGGCAAGGCACCCTCGTCCTTGCGGGCCTTACTTTCGCAAGCCCATTGGTTTACGGTTTTGGGGGTGGTGCTCTGATTGTTAGGACGCGCCATGGCCATAGGAGCGAATCTGCTTGTCCATTCCAGCTTTTCTACATGTTGTCGGGCTGCTTTGATCCCGCACCGTCACAAAAGCAAGGACTACATCATCAGCGCGAAGACGAAAGATGGGCGTGAGGCACTCTCTGGCGAATGCTTGCCTCCTTGGATAAGACTTTATTGTAAAACCTGCCGGCATGTAGGTTTCATCTTGGAGTCGGCTCATGCAGCGATGTAGAATACTACATCTTGTGGGTTTTCAGCTTTGAAAGTCCTTCTTCGTCTTGTTCACTTTATAGGGCCTGTCCATCTGCGTGGCCGGCATAGAAGCGACCACACCGGCAACAAAAGAGTTGTGTCTGGTCTCTTTTAGGGCTCAGGGGGAAGCGTTGGTAACCGTAACCCCCTATAGTCGGCCTCATAATTCTAGTACGGTAGATCACCAGAAGCCTAGTCCAACTATGACGATCCCGGAGTACCGTGTTGTGAGCCATGAAGCGCAGGTGATACCAGGCCATAGGTTTCGAGGTTTAGGGTTTAGGGTTGTTGTTATTAGTGTACATTCTTAGCATTTACTACTAAGTATAAGTAGAAGTATAAGTCTTTCTGTTAGTATTACAGTAGTACTAGTATTATGATTCTTAACTACTATTCCGAAGGCTAGGTTGTTCGTCAAGACAGATCGCAACGGAAAGCTGTGACGGACTGTTCAGTGTGCAGTTCTGCTCCCAAGAATGAGACCTGCCACCAAAATTATCCCGGGGGCACTTCCCTCCCATTGTCAGGGACCTAGGGGTTAAGGTTAGAACCCCAAAAAACCCTTAACCCTACTTGGAGGTTCATGGGTAGTTACAAGTAGGGTTATAAGTAGGGTAGCTTTAGTTATAACCCATACTAGGGGACTTATAACCCCACTTATAACTACCCATGAACCCTACCCTAAACCCTAAACCCTAAACCCTAAACCCTTACAGGAACCCTATAACCCCACTTATTACCTACCCCTGAGAACCCCAAGTAGTCAGACCCAAGTCCGCTTCATCTTCCGAAAAAAAGGCGAGGTCCTTACATGGGTGGTTGTCAAAATTAGGGTCCCTTTTTGGGTCCTTGTTATAATACGGCACCTATTATTTAGGGTACCCCAAAAGGGACCATAATTTTGACAACTACCCACATGGGAGTTTCCGGAAAAAAGGGGACCCTAATCTAGAACCCCAAATAGTAGGATACTTATTAGAATCTAGTACCCCAAATAGTAGGATCCTTATTATAATATAGTACTCTAAATACTAGGATCCTTATTATAAGACCCCCAAAATAAGGTACCCCCTTATTTTCGGAAAGTCCCACATGCAGTGAAGGTGGTGAAGGGCTTCTCGTGGTTCAACCAAGACCAGGACGGAGGTGCTGCTGGCTCGGGGGGCTCTTTCTTGGGCAGAAGGAAGGACACAGACCGTTTTAAGGATTCTCTACGTCCTACGTGGTTGAAGAACGCTTGGTTCGGGAGGAACCGAATACGTACAAGGTCTACAAATTTAGCTATTTTTGCAGGTTTTGCACTCACAATGATATCTGGTTATTACCGAGTATGAAATTTCTGAAATCCTGGGCCTAGCCCTGACGAATCATTGAGTCTTCCCGTTTGTATGTGCGTGTGGCTTTGAGAGTTTTTCGGGCGTCGGGTTCGGGTACTCTAAGCAGACTACAAGGGCTATTGTCAATAAGGGTGCTATATGTGAGGTTCATCGTGCCAGTGTCATTTGCAGAAGAGACTGCTCACAGTGGCATCAACTCGTACTCTGTTGCCCCCTTTGCGATGTAGCCTGGATGTAATACGGCTAGCGATCCTGATGTTTCAGATCCAGGATCATAGGACCTTAACAGTTGTGCAGCACATCAATGCTGGTCAAGCTCCGTGGTTCATGTTCTTGACCTGCAAACGAAAAGCCGCGAGTGCGGGTCGTAAGATGTCGTCGTCGACGTGTGCAATGCTCAGCCTTGTGAAACCTCAGCCCAAGTTTCCAACGGTGTACTTGGAGGTTCATGGGTAGTTATAAGTAGGGTTATAAGTAGGGTAACTATAATTATAACCCATATTAGGGGACTTACAACCCCACTTATAACTACCCATGAACCTCCAAGTATCCTATTGAGTCCTCCTGTCACTCTGAGGCTAAAAACCCAAGTTTCAATCCCGACATGCCGGATGAAAGAAGTGTTCATTCCGGTCATCCACGCGAGGCACCTACAACCTGCGACTGTTTAACAACGACGGTACGGTCAACAAGGCTTCTCCAGAAACGAAGTGTCTATCAGGGGGCTGGAGTTCGAGATGATATAGGGATCCTGTGAGCTTTGGGTTTAGGGGGTTTAGGGTTTAGGGTTTAGGGATACTATTAGGGTTGCTATTTGGGTTACTATAATGCGTGGTATTAGGGACATCGTATTGCTACTGCTGCTTTGCGATTTGATCCGTGTTGGTCATTCATCTGTCGCGCCTATGAAGTCTTGGTTTCTAAGCCAGCCCGCTAGGCCCTTGTAATTAACGACTTCAGTTCGGAACAGCATTAACCCTCTGTTGCAAGTTCTTGATCGTGTTATCATGTGTTCTCTTTTTTCCGTGGTCCTACTGGACTTTGACCCAGGCTCATTTTTCCAACCACGTTTCGAGTTACCACAAGCTGCTTCTTCGGATTTTATGGCTTCAGGGTCATAGAGTCTAGGGAGAGCTGCAGCAGCCAGGTTAGATTGGATCCAGCAGCCTAAAGCAAAGCAGCATGACATAGGCTGACCCAGCAGAGGCATACATCCACTACAATAGGGGCCATAATAGATGCCAACACTATTCTAAGGGCTCCTTACTATAGTTCTGGTCTATATCTACCCCGAAAAAACCTCTTCCGACTGTCAAGGCCCTAAACCCTAAACCCCGAACCCGAAACCCTAAACCCTGAACCCAGAATCCCCGAAAAACCCTGGCCTGGGACCTGAAACCCAGAAGTCTGCGCAGGCGGGCGAGGCTTACATGGCCGCCTGCACACGCTGGCGGCGATGATAGGGTTAGGGTTATGGATGGGTTTAGGGCTTTTAGGGTAAACTGGATTGCAAAATCCAGTGTGTCACGGTGAGCTTGTCCGCAGCTCAAGCGCAGTGTCTCGCCTATCCGTTCGAGTTTGGGGCCTCCTGGCGATCAGTTGGATCCGAAGGCTTTATGCGTCATTGTGGCGGATATCAGAACACCAGGATTCAAAGCTTTACTGTCTGTATCATCTGTGTATGACGAAAGATAATATAGGGGTCTAAAAAATTACCAACACTACTTTGAGGTCTCCTGATTATGAATATAGTACGATATACCCTAAAACCCTATTCTAATTGTTAAATCACCCACATTACCTGGTTTTCTGAAACTCCCATGTCCGGAGACATGAACACATGCGATGAGCTCTTAGAAGTAAGGGCCCTAAGACTGGTGGTTGACAGCGACGACCGACCCATGCGCAGCCTAGCGCAAGGCCCCCTTTTCAAGGATTTGAATGCTTAGGTTAAAGATGACATGCACCAACGGCGAAAGGGGATGTTGGAGGCTTCAGGGTTTGATGCTGAAGGGCTTTGGGATTTACTCACAGCTCTGGGTGCGTGATCTGCTTGAATGTAAGTGTGTTCGCCTGTCACGAACGGCTTCCTCCTGCAGGATAAGAACTACTGCAGCTACATGTGGCCCTCGCGGTGCAAGTCGAGCTCAGTTGTTTTGTCCCCGAATTCTGTGCCCTGAAGTCTTGGGCAAAGTGTCACCGGAGTGTCCGGAAGCAGAGCGCCCAGACAAAGGCCTGGGATTGGATGTCCCAGTTTCGAAGGGAAGTAGGGGATTTCCTGAATACGGTTTTGAATGCCAATGAGAGCCCCCTTCTTCCTTCTGAGACTAGCAATAGGGCGCTACATGCGAAATCTAAACCCTAAACTACACCCTAGATTCCAGATGGGAAATCTGCTTGGGAGTGCCATCATCATCATCATCATCATCTTCTTTAAGAGATGACTCGATTGGGAGTCTGCCTGCAGGTTGGCCTTAGAACCACGCAAATCCCTTTATACACTCGAGTGTAAGGGTTATGGACTTGCAATACCGGAACCTCTAACTTACAACCACAGCCTGGAAGCACCCCAGTAGCCCCTATACTACTCAATCCAGAGCTGGAGCGAAGCTTGAAGCTGGTTTTCAATTTCCAGCATCCTGACTGCGAACACCAGATCACGAAAAGCAGAGAATACGTGAAGACTTGCAGACTATACTGCCAAGCACGTGTATGTGTTATACACTCATAGGCCCTTTCGACGACAGTCAATTTGGTAACACGGTGGGCGCCATCGCGTAGGTCGCAGTCAGAATCAATCAGCTGATTCTGATCTCGTTGCACAGATGCAAAACAAGGGGTCAAGAGAACTCGATAATAGTGGGCACTCCCTTGTTCGGCTTGTTTTCTTTTGGGATGACGCTTGAACATCCCTGAGCCCTAAGCGACAGTTGTGATTCAAGAATCCAACGTTCGTGCCCTGAGTATCCAGACCCGGAAATTCCTTAAATTTAAATCGCGCTTGTGCAGGAGCACTTATGTGCCACATCCGGCGAGACTGGGGTTGGACTCTGACTAAGCCCTTAAAGCTTACAAGAGTCTGCAGTTTACGCTGACGTCCTTAGTAAATGCACAGTACCTTGCCGTGAACCAGTGGACAGCCATGACTTTAGCTCGACTGTAAAGGCTTGGCCCAAAAGTAGGTCACTGATGCCATGGGGATATCGACACCATAGTAGACAGAGAATAACTGACATGTTGGTTCTTGCTTTCAAGGCCACTAGAAACCACTAGCAGTTCTTGGCTGTTGGCAACGAACTCTATGGAGCGACCCTGGCCGCACACTCTGTGGACAGTATACCGTGGGCCCTCGCCCCTCTTGATCTTGCTTTCATTTTTGGCCTCGTTACTTCTATGCAGTAGAGGTGTGTAGCACAAGTGTTTGACACGATTTTAAGCATCATAGCAAGTATCAATACAGTTGCTACTTAAAAAGCACCCGAAACCCTAAGCCTTAGTCCGGCACTTGCTGCTAGAATCTGGGGGTTACCGTAGCACCCGGCTCTTGCTAATCATTATCATGACCCCCTCCGCCACCAACGTGATGTGGTTCCGTTCGCAGGGTTCAAATTAACTAATAGCCCGAAACCCTAAACCCTAAACCCCTAAACCCTAAACCCCTAAACCCTAAACCCCTAAACCCCTAAACCCCCAAACCGTTACCACTTTGTTGGACTTCGCCCTCACCTGCGCAGGTCGGAGACACATCAGAGCGGGCCCTCTGTGCACAAGCAATGCAGCGTCGCACTCCCGAGAAAACGTATATTCATGGGTTGGTTCCTGTATTTCTTTGCCGACCTGCTTATGTATGATCGTATTCGTAGAAGAGCTCGTGGCAAGGAAGCCCCAGGATGCTGTTTCTTGGTGCAACGATGCAACATCACTTCGTGCCGAAGCTCTGCGCTGCAAAGCAGGGTGGAGTGTGAGCCTTAGGAGCCCTGAAGCTCTAAAGCCCCCACGTCAGTCACCCCACCCACGATTCGATGATTACCGAATGTTTCCTTGCTGGCAAAGCTTGGCCGGGGGTTTTAGGTTTTTAGGGTTCAGGGCTCCCCGAAGCAAGCCAGGGTGCCGAGGCTTCCTGTTGGTCCTTCTGATGTGCACCGCAGACACTCCGAAGACAGAGCAGCCGTCACGCAGGGCGTTTAGCGTCACTGCTTCCTAGCATTCTTCCTTGTCAATCCCTCTCTAACTATTGTAGATCCCCTCTTCCTCCTGAGAAGATATTAGTCTTGTTAAAACAGATGCCTTTTCTGGTGTTTACGGAGCAAAGCTTCAACCACAAAGAAGGTCCTAACCGTATACAGGACAGGAAGCGATCGAGGCTTCGTCCGGCGCCATGTGAAGTAGATATGTACTTTTGGGGAGCGTGTGTATATGGCCCCTTGCTTTCGCATTTTCATGCTCTATATTTGAGGGGGACTAGTAGTACTGAAACCCGACCTCATGTACGGTTCCATGGGCTATATGTGAGCTCCAAGCGCAGGAGGCCACGGCAGATACCACTAAACTGTACAGTAACCACCTAAAAGGTTGGAGGAAGCTGGAAGAAGGGTGTTTAGTGATCAGGGCAGGATAGTTGCCGACTTGATGGCAATAACTGCCAAGCCAAACTTAACTAAACTCCTAGCTGACTCATGGCCGGGACCTCTATCGTAAGCTGTCGGTGTCAGAATCAGAAGGCCAAATTCTCGACTGCTTGGTCCATCACTCTTTGGCAATCCACGGAAAAGAGATCGATGAACAAACATGCCGGGCTTCTGAAGCGACCCTTCGTACCGCCTATTGAGCCTGACTGTAAACAGTCACAAACCACAGAGCAGAAACGAGACTTTGGTACAGGAACTGAGTTTTGGGTGACTCCTGAAATACTGGAACCTAAAAAGCCGATACCCTCTGCAGGGCTGGAGCTCTGCGTCCTTTACGGGTGCCTCATTTAGGGGCGCTTGTAACAAGGATCCGACTGCATAGGCTTATATTCTGAAGCTTACATCTTGGCTTGTATGCTTACAGACTTCTGAACATGCCACCTGACTCAGATACTTCTTTGCTTGAGAGACACTGGCATCTGTAATCATGCTGCTGACTGGTTGCAGATAATTGCATTGGCAGCTGGTTGTTTCCGAAACCAACCTAAGCATGTGCGTTTGCTGATAGCCGGTCTAGTCTGATGCCTTGGGCACAGCGACAGCGACGCTGTCGCTTTCGCTTTCCCTGTAATCTTGAGTACTGCCCTCCGACCTTTCTTGATCACATTGTCGGGCTGAAAAATCTGATGCTTTTCTGACTCAACGCCGCGCCATCTCATTTGACTCAAGCGAAAGCCCGTGCCATGTCCAAAGATGAACATCCGCACAAGCCCAGTGCATGCTGTGAGTTCCTTGCCGTACAAGCTTTAGAGACATGCAGCAGTGAGAAAGGGCAGGAGCTCGGTACAAGAGCAAGAAGCCTAAGGCCCTAAGGCACGAGACCCTTAGCCTGAACCTCAAACAGCCTAATCCAGCGCCAGCTTGAAGCCCAGAGCCCCACCAGACTGGCCCCACACCCTACCTACGTCCCTCTAATGCAAAGGACCAGAAAGGTTTCTAGGCCAACCCCTGCAGCCCATAATCCTAAACTCCTGAAGCCTTGGATCTTGCATCCTAAAACCCTAATATAGGGGCCTAATTAATTGCCACTATACCATTTGGGGGGGGCTCCTCATTCAAATCATAGTAGCCCCAAAACCCTGTTCGAATTATTAAGACCCCTACATTAATCCTTTCAACCCCCCTAAACCCCAAACCCCTAAACCCTAAACCCTTAACCCTTAAACCCTTAAACCCTTAAACCCTAAGCCCTAAACCCTATACCCCTTAACCCTAAACCCCACGAGCCGGTCAGGGTTTTTCGGGGCCATGGCTTCATACCGGGGATAACGACTACGAGGCCGCATCGGGCTCAGCTTTCGGAAGCAGTTTAGCGTTTAAAGGGGTTTAGGGCTTAAGGGGTATAGGGTCTAGAGTTCAGGGTCTAGGGTTTAGGGTTTTAAGGGTTTAAGGGTTTAGGGTTTAAGAGTTTGGAGGTTTAGCGTTCGAGGGTTTAGGGTTTAGGGGTTTGGGTTTAAGGGTTTAGGGTTAAAGGGTTTAAGGGCTATAGGGTTTAAGGGTTCAGGGTTTTGGGGTTTAAGGGTTTAGGGGTTCAGGGTTTAGGGGTTTCAGTGGCGATAGGGTTTAAGGGGTTTAGGGGTTAATGGGGTTTAGGGTTTAAGGGTTTAAGGATTTTAGGGGTTTAAGGGTTGAGGGTTTAAGGGTTTAGGGCTTAAGGGTTTAAGAGTTTAGGGTTTAAGGGTTTAGGGCTTAAGGGTTTAAGAGTTTAGGGTTTAAGGGTTTAGGGGTTTAGGGTTTAGGGGCTCAGGGTTTAAGGGTTTAGGATTTAGGGTTTAAGGGTTTAGGCTGAAGGTCTACGGCTTAGGGAGGGGGGTTTTGTGAGCGCGGCACGGCACAGGTGCAATGACGATCCACCGTTTGAAGCACTCGCAATTGAACTGAACAGAAAAATCCTGAAATCCCAAGACTTAAAACCTGGACCTAAACCCTAAACCCCTAAACCCCAAACCCTATATAGCCCCAAACCCTCAACTCACGATCGTCCACACGTTGCAGGCTCCAGAAACAGCGCGTTTCGCCTCATGTTCACCTTGGCAGGGGCCGCAGCTGACGGTGCATTAAACCCGTTTCAAGAAGTTACTAAGAAATATGCCGACAGTATATTGTAAATGTACTATAATCTACGAATCATGTACTCTAAGGTATTACCGACAGTATATTGTAAATGTACTATAATCTACGAATCATGTACTCTAAGGTATTACAATGTACTAGCTAAGAATGCACCATATTATACAAACAATATATTATCTCATATCGTTAATGTACTCTAGTAATTATAATAGCAGAGCCTTCTGCAACCCTTCGGCCCTGAACAAAAGTCTTAAAGCCAAAGCCCGGAATCCACATTGACATGCCGAAGGATTCGATAGCTCTGTACTGTAGGGGCCTTAATAGTTTCAATAGGGTTTTGGGGTATATCATACTATAGCTATACTGAGGGGCCTGCTTATGCCTTAATAATTTCAATAGGGTTTTGGGGGTATATCATGCTATAGCTATAATAAGGAGCCTTAATAATCTCAACAGGGTTCTGGGGTATATCATGCTATAGCTATAAAAAGGGGCCTTAATAATGTCAATAGGGTTTGGGGGGTATATCATACTCTAGCTATATTAGAAGGTCCCGACATGCTTCGGCTTAGTCCATATGCAGAGAGGAGTGTGGCCGTAAGAGGCAGTGGCTATGCCAGCAAAGGCCCTTGCGCTTAGCACAAATACGGTTGATGATACAAATCCTGCTTTACCCATAGCAAGGAATATCCCATAATTGCCGTAGTTTAGGGCCCTTTGAGGTAATGCAGGATTTATATCATCAACAGTATGAACACCGGCATGCACCCATTGCCAAGCCGCATGGACTTACTTACGCGCTGCCGGCTGCGGCTCAAGATCTTTGCGTGTCAAGCCTTGACCAAACAAGATCCTTTTCCGTCCCGTACGTGATATATACAGGCGGAGAGGTAGAGCTCCCTGAGGGACATGGCTTTGACACAGATTCCTTTCCCGGCTAGGCTTCTCGGAAAGTTCGAGGCAGGAGAAGTCTCGCCTTCCTTCCAGGCGATGCACGCTTCGCCTGTGAGATCACCGGCCAGCACGGGTGGCACATTTTCGGCTGTGACTGACTCGCCGATCTCGCCGACCGGCACGAAATCTGCGTTTTTCACTGCCAGTGCCTCGGAGAAGCTTCAGCTTCACAAGGCCGGGCAGTGCCATCCATGTGTAGCCTTCGCCTACAGATCGGGCGGGTGCTACAAAGGCGACTCCTGCACCCACTGTCATCTTTGCACAGCCACCGAAGCAACGGCGCGAAGAAGGCAACTGCAGGAAGCCGCACGCCGGCAAAGGAAGCAGCAGAAAACGGCAGATCAAGGGAAGATGACAGCTCGCATTCTGGCCGGAGAGGCCTTTTGGCTTTGAGGTGGGCTGTTTCCTTGGATGAGCCGTGGTAGGGATTGGGACGGAACCTTAGTGATTTTGTGCAGTTTCAGTCAAGCCGGCTTGCATGGGCGGTGCCTCTGCCCGACAGGTGAGCAGCCACCACTAGAGTGATCATCATCACCAGATGCAAAGCCAAAACATCGTCACAGCGTGCAGTGCTACCCGGCTACCAAGTAGTAAGGACATGCCGTGTCTGTCGGACATGGGAACATCAACGCCCCTGCTTCCACATCATGAGGTGTGTCTTGCAGCTTGATTGTCTTTTCCATTCTTTCCCGCAAAGGCAAAGCCCCAAGTCCAAGCTGGCGGCTATTTTGGCGTTTCCAGCTTCAGTGTCTCTGTAGTTCAACACGGCTTTCTCTAGCCAGGCAACTTCGACAGGAGTTGCCATAAGGCGCTGGAGCTCGGGAAAGCCGGTTTAATGCTGTCGCGATGTGCCCAAGGGTTTGGCAGATTCGTGGCAAAAAACGACCTAAGGCTGGTCAGAGCATACCTCGAACCACAGAAAACAAGGCGCTTGACGCTTTGCTTGGTTTAGGTCTGGTGTTGCAGCATCATGTTGCTCTCTACAAATGCAGTGAAGACTGAAGCATCTGTCATTGTTCAGTTTTTGCTCTTTACGGTGTCCACAGAGATTTCAGTATGCCCGCGCTTATACAGTTAGCTCAAAAATCCCAGCTGGAACCCAAAACTGGAACTGCAACTCGTGATCTCTTTCTGCTAGGAAGGGGCCGGAATAGGGTTCACGAAGGGTAAAATCAGGTAAAACTCTCGAACTTTATACCTTTTTGTTGTGATGCTTTCATGTTCCCCCTGAAAGCTGAGCCCCGAAAACCTGGTTCGGAATGTACCTACAGTCTCCCTTGCAGTTCCTTCTTTCGGCTACTTTTTTAGGACGTTAAACCAAACAAGAAAGTATCATGGAGACTAAAGGCAGGGAGTAGGATGAAGGAACAGTCCATTTTGGTTCCGAGACTCCACCCAAAACAATCAAGACCAAAACGACCGGATTCTAATGCCGATGGTGATGGTTGCCACTGCTTTCCGCTAAACCCTAAACCCTAAACCCTAAACCGTTCAGTGGTGATTTGGGCTGAGACTGGTCAGACGGAGCCTGAGCGAGAGAGGCCCTGGTAGCGGATGACATCCCCATCAAGCCGGAGGCAGGGTTTAGGGTTTGGGGTTTTGGTTTAGGGTTTAGGGTTTAGGTTTAGGGCAGGGGTCATACAACAACTAATGGTAGGATGAAGCATATACTGTAATGTGTAGAATATGGGCTTACATACTGTGTATCGGAATTATATTTTGTATTGTCTAGGGCTTTCCGAGGTTTTGGTCAAAACTTGGGACCCCCGCCCCCCACCCCAACCCTGCTAGCGCGGGGTGCCTGCGCTCAATTATCGCTGATTCCTTGTGGGCCGCGATGCATTTCTTGGGCGGTACGCGACCCAACTCCCCGATCCTGAATGACGATAGGCCAGCTCACAGGACCTAACAGGACCTATTGCATGCCATGCGGGCGGAGCCTGCGTTGCAAGACCGTTGCGTGATTCTGCGCCCATGAGGGTCAGGCAGATCTGCTGGATGTGGGGGGTGCTCCGAGGTCCTAAGCCCAATGCCCTAAAGACCCCAGCCCACAGCTCCTTTTCAAGAAAGACTGGCTTCTCAGTCCCAACAGCTGCCAGGATTTCCGCGATGATTACCGAGATAGACTCAAGAAGCCGGGATCTCGAATGAGATATGGGTAGTTCTTTAAATTAGGGTCCCATTTGGGGTCCTTTTCATAAGGGTGCGGTACTATATTGGGGACCCCAAAAGGGACCCTAATTTAGAAAACTACCCATATAGAATTGGTCTATGGATGAATGTTTATGTTGCACGTGTTGCTTTCATACTGACTCTTCCAGTCAGTATGCTAAAGTGAGTTCGATACGGTCTACGCAGGTCTTAGATCTTTCATGGAGCGTCAGACAAAGCCGGATTAACCCTTTTGGTGCTACTGGCTAGCTGGCCCTGCAGAACACTGCTGTCACAATCTTCTTCTCTGGTTGGATCCCTTATAGGATATCTGGTGATGAAGCCTGGGAGAAAATAGTGCTGTGTGTTTGCTCCGTTGTATCTCATCGTGCCGAGGATGTAGGGTTTTGCAAATCCAGGGGTGCCTGATGTAGCAAACCACGTCCAAAGGACCCTGCTAATGTGCGCTCTGTATGGGGACCCCTCTTCAAGCCAGCCGTCGCAGCCGACCGTGCGGTGGGCGGTGAACCTGTATGTGTGCAGCTCGCAGCTAGCTCGCTACACTCCTTACTGAAGTTAGAGCGTTGCGATTGGCCAAGCAGCCCATGCAGCAGGGACCGTACTCATCTTGAGTCCAGCTTAATGCATATAAGTTCATAAGATAAGTACTTGCCCAACACCGCTGTGCACCCGTGGCCTCCACGGGTCATCCGGCCCTTGCCATCCGCTTCTCAGCATCATGTCCAGCTTTCCGGAAGGCTCACTGCCTACTTGGAGGTTCATGGGTAGTTATAAGTAGGGTTATAAGTAGGGTAACTATAATTATGACCCATATTAGGGGACTTATAACCCCACTTATAACTACCCATGAACCTCCAAGTAGCTCGATGACCGTATGCCCTTCGACCCAGCCGTTCCGGTGGTCCTCGGAACTCCGAAGCCCGAAGGTGTGGACAACGAGAAGGCACCTCTTAAAACGCCGCCCAGGCAGATACAACTGCGCTTCGTGGACCGAGTGCTGCCCAATGTAGGGCTGTGCATCGAGTTCTACAACTTCTTGAGCATCAAGGCCGCGTCTCTTCCGTCAGAGCCGAAAAGCCGTAAACCAGGTTTAGGACTTACCGTGCTAAATCCCGAAGCCCTAACCCGTAAGTCCTAAACCCTAAACCCTTTAGAACCCTCGTGGCCGCCCCCCCGCCCCCGCTCAGGCATCTTTTGAGCCATAACCCCCAAAAGGCCGAACTTCAATCTTCTAGGCCTCCTAAGTCGGCGAACCCGAAAGAAGCACAGTGTTAACGTATAGTTTATATAAGTATATTATACTATATTCTATTATATACAAATATATTATATTATAGTATTGTATACTTATGGTTTAGTATAGTATATTAGAGATTTCGTGTTTAGAATGTCGCTGCACATGCTAAGCAAGAGGCCATGCGTCTGCCTTACTTCTCATTCTGCCATCCCCCACCAACTACACCAAATCCCCGAGGGGAGACAGGCTTCGGGAGTTCGTTTGAGTGTTGAGGCATGGGAGGTTTAACATGCTGCCATGGGGGGCCGAATTTAATTGCCTATATTATTTTGGGGGGTTCCTGATTATAATTGTAGGAGAATGGGCCCCAAAACCCTATTCTNNAATTATCAAGGCCCCCATATTATGCGATGCTATCGGACGCATCCTCGAGCATGCAACCCCGAGACTCAATGCAGGATGCCATTATTTATCCTGGCGATGGTCAGCAGTCCTGCGGCGAAGCCTACGTCAAGGCAGGGGCCACGGCTGGGAACAGAAGGCGAGTGAGAGAGAGGGAGAGAGACGGAGAAGTGTCAGTGGGAACGAGGGCGCGAGTGAGAGTGAAGTCAGAGTGAGAAAGACAGATGCAGAAAGAGAGAGTGAGATAGAGACAGTGTGTTTCTGCTCTTCAGACCATTCCGATCTGTCTTTTTGAGTTGTATTGCATTTGTGAAAATATCCATGCACGGTGGTTTTGTATTTGTGCGTACACACACACTATATATATATATAT